CTGTGATGGACTTGCGACCTGTCCAGGGTGTACCCCGCCCCTCGCACTGTGACTGCTGGATATGGGCACCAGTGACCCACGCAACCCTGAAAGGAAGAAGCGTGGGAAGCATTTATCAAATAAAGTTTAATCTTACAACTAATCAGGGATCACTTTAAAGTGCATGTAACATGCATATCCTTCAAATTCAAAAAATAAAAAAAACATCTTTATATTTAACAAATTTGGCATGATACACATGATTTTACCCATTTTTTCCACATACCTGGCATTTTTCTTCTAAACTTATCTCAGCCAAAGTGAAACAGGAAGTGACATCATAGGGGAACTTTAAGAAAGGAAACGTCTTTGTTTATTGAAATGTTATTTTTTGAACTTGAACTCTTCTTCATCTCTCTGATAGTGACTCAAAATAATATAAAGAAACATCAAATTCTTCTCTACAGTCTTAACGCTCTGTTTACATGCAGACATTCCCCTCTGACATCACTTCCTATTTCTTCTCATGCAAATATCTGAACAACTGTTCATCTCTGCAGTGTATTTTTAAAAAATACAGTCATATTTAATACAAACAATTTGATGTCCTAGGGGCTTTAAAATCAAGGCTTGTTTGGTTTGAAAGAACTGAAAGATAGTCGATAATTTGGGCATTTACATGTTTGTAACCAGATAGATAATGCACCAATAGTTGACTGTTTGAATGTGAAAAGCGTTCATACAACCACACCAGCGCGCTCGTCTGAAGGCAGTTTATTCTCAGTGCTGCGTTCAGGGGTGTTTTTTAGGAAGTCACATCATTATAACAGAAGCTTCAGGACATGACTCCACCTATTTATTGCGTCATCGTAAGTGGCCCAATACTGCTGAGAGTCAGGACCACATACATTTTTCCTGCACTAATGAAAATAAACAGTTCCATTATGTGTTGAATATGTGTTCAGGCATGTACCAAACTAAACATAAAATCATCAATTCAAGCAGAAATAACTACATTATAAAAATATATAACTGTTCACCTAATAAGAGTATAAAATGTGCAGTGTCCTCAAAAGTCAGTAGTAAACAACCCCAATAAATGTCTTCAGAACAAAATGTCTATTTCACACCTGAGGGTTTGTATAGTTTCTCATTTATTTTTTATTTAAAAAATGTACATGAATAAATTACAACAAAGGACTACATTAAAGAAGACATCAAAACGGGCAGCAGTAACAGGGGTCAAACAGTTGAACACGCACACCAATCCCAGCCCTGGACCCACCCCTTCGGATACCCACGGTGCAGTAAGATTAAGACATGCTAYCGATGTCTCACATAGGCACTTGATTTCCCAACCAAACCATCTTTGGTCAGAGTTGCTCGGCTTTGTCTGAACTCGTTCTGGCACAAATCGGAGAGGAGTCATTGTAAACTGAAACGGCTAGTTTAAACGTGACCCAAATATGGTTAGAACCTGACAGCCTCCACAGAGTTAACTTTAGCACTATTTAAAAGAACACTACATGATACGATATTTCACGTGATTACAGAAAGAACTCCGGCGGGGGTGGGGGATCAAGCACTACACTGTTCACCTGAAAACAATGCGTTGGATTTTCACACAATTTACTGGAACAAATATGCTGTACTGTCTACACCAAGGGCATTCCTGTTTTTATTTTGAGACTAACCAGTCTTTTTTTTCATCTTTGAAAGTTTTGCAAAAATAGATCCATTTCTAATAAATTAAAAGCCTCAGTTAGACTTTAAATGCGATCTATTTAGCTACTTATGCATTGTCTAACACTGTGTACACACTAATTTTATGCGTGTTTTGAGTAAAATACTGAAGACACTGGCAGACTTGTTCTTTGGATCCCCCCCCCCCCCCCCC